TCTAGTTAGTTAGTTAGTTAGTTAGTTAGTTATCTTAACCCCTCGTACATCCCTTGCATTGCTCCTAATTAGATCTGTACCTGGTGTAAATGTACCTGCTAGTTCTTTTTGTGCTGTTACCATTTTAACTAACCCGTAGTCGCCTCCTCAGCCCGCGGGTGACGGGTTCCGATAAACCGTTCCTTTCCGTGAGAGGTATAAATTAATTGACGACAGCCACGCTGCAGATAAAGCAGCTATCTTATCTTCTGCAAGCGACAATGACATAAAGTTAATACTTTTGTGCAGCGTAAAACTACGATGATTTATTGGCTTTGTGACGGTTTCTGGAAGTCTTCAGTGACGTCGAATTACTGCCCCATCATCTGTCAAATGATCATCCGGGTTTTGGGTCCAAATAAAGGTAGAATTCCATACGATTGGTTTTGAGAGGAGAAACGGCTAACGCAAGGTTTCGCGTTGACTTACCCCCTTGGAAACTTTACTGAAAGGGTCAATTTTTATAGAAGTTACGTATGACGACGATCTCAGAAGCCACCTAGAGGACCTGGTATCTCACCATGTAGCTCAGTGCGGCGAAGCAGAACTTGGAGATGAGACTACGTACGTAAGATGATGTTTCGAGGCTGAAAGAATGGTTCCAAAAGACAACTCACGTATTTTTTAAACTCTGCAGAATCCGCCTCTGATGTCCAAGGTCACACACTGCGGTGCTGTGTATAAGCGTAGTCACGGTAACGCAGCCTTAGAAGTGGATTACGAGTTAGTTAAGTGTATTTTTATGAATTGCTTCCTGAAAGATAACATTAAAGTAATAGGTCTAGTGGCGCTGTTGAGGACGAATTGAAATTCGCTCATTGCGTTATGCCGTACGTGCCTTTAACTTCGACTGTTCGCGTCACGTAACAGTGCCCCTTTGCGTAATTTATAATTGCGAGAATCATGCCGTGAACTATTCCAGAATGACGGCATTACTCGGTTACGAGAGGCATAATGTTTCCTGATCGACGTTTCGGTCGCATCCAGTATAGAGTATATACCGTATCAGACTTGTCAGTAAGAATCAGGGTATGCCCTCGATATGCCTCGTTTCGTGACGAGTACGTTAGTTGCGCGTTCAAATATGCCTGTGCTGTATTTGCAACAGCTGCATGCTAATCTCGCCTAGAGTCGCTCTGTGATTACCCCTGTTATATAGACAACACCTTTGTCGCCAAGTTTTTAGTCGTCTTGAAACTCCATGTCATAGAATCGCCCCCTTGAGTCTGTCCTTGCCTGTCATATTATGTCAGTTACCGCGTGGAATATTGATTAGAGACTCCGGATTACTTGCAAGCCGTGGGAAAATTGCAGGTCTAATCATGCTGCAGTCAGAGGAGATAAGCTAATGCAGGAGTTTATTAAGCTATTAGGAGAAGCTAATAGGTCAACAGAACGGGGGGGTGGAATGAGGGCCATGCAATTAAGGGTAGCTTTTTGTATCGCGGGGTAGGGATTTTCTTCTTTGCTGTGCGTCTTGTCTTAATGGACGGACTGATAAAGTACGTTTTGTGCCGTGTTCCCGTTTGGTATCCGGCTGTTTCGATGCTGATTTTTCTTGACTGCTTCGTCTCGAAGACGCACGGAGATAATCCAACTTCCTTCTTTATTTTTTAATAGCCTGACAATTCATATACACAGGACGTTTTACGACTGTCTCAGTGTTCATTAAAATCCACTGCATGTTTCGACCTTACTAGGTCCATCTTCAGGTGGTTCTCTTTAAGTGCTCAAAACTAAGACATATGAATGCTAAATTGTATACGCCTCAGCGGTGTTTTGGTAGAACAGAGACAAACGCCTATTCATTCTGAGCTTCGTTCTACATGGAATTTGACGCCTCGGTTGTTTAACTTCTGGGCTGGGAAAGAGAATCCGGTACCCGTAGGATGGGGGAGGGGCGCCTGAAGTGCCCCATGTCCTGTCTAGATGTGGCAAGGAACAAACGGAATTCTGGCCCTGCCGGATTTCGAACCTTGGTCTTCTGAGAGCAGAGTTTTTGCCAGAACGTCACCTTCCTCACATTACATAAACCTCTGCAGCAGATACAGTGTCGTTAAATCTCCTGTTAGTGAGTCCCCCGTCCCTCGCCCGTAGCCCTCAGTTTCTTGTTCTAGTGAATGTGCATCACATTCGTAATTTGGGTAATTGGCTCTGTGCCAGATCCGTGTGTTAGTTAACCGCTGAGATATCTGAACGTGCCATCGGATGTGATCCTGAGCTAGCTGCATCCACTTCTTGCACACGCAGTCTGCGTCTCTGAGATCCATCTTAAAGCTATCGTAGCAGCTTCGGTCTTCCAAGAGGTTTCCCCACCAAAACTTTGTAATCACTTCCTGTCTCTCCTATCCTCGTCTCTTCCTCAGTCCGACGTAGAAAAATCTACAGATTGTGTTTAACGCAGGGAATATTTTTCTGAGCTCATTAGATTGATTTAACTTAACTTCGGTGTTTCAGTTAGAAGATTCTGGATGTTGTGTTGAGGTTTGTGTTTTCTTTGCAGACGCTGGACCCGACGGACGGAACAGACGTTGTAGGGGCTCAGCACTGGGTAAGTTAGCGCCATAATCCAGTATTCATGACCCAAAGAGCGAAAGTCTCGAAACTTGGTTACAGATACAGATTTGTTGAAGTTCTGTTATATGAGGAATGTAGCTCAATAACTTTTTATATTAATCTACGTAAAATATTTGTAACATAAAAGCGCGTTACGCTCCAGAAATCGAAAAATCAACGTTCGTGACTTTAATTTTTTATTGACTTCTGCGTTTACGGTTACGTTTCTTAGAAAATATTGAAATTGAAGTTAGGGGGTCCTGCGATAGCCGTTGACGCTCAAGAGACACCCTTTGGTCGGAAATATACGATGGTGCGTAATATTCAAATGGTTCTTAGGTAAGAGGGTATGAAGTGCATCCATCTGGTTCTAGATAGGAGTCGGTGTTGGATTTTATGAACATGGTAATTAGTCTTGGGGGGGGGGGGTCCTTAAAAAATGGGATATCTCTTGACCACCTCAACGACTATAAGCTTCTGAAGAATCGTGAACAGGTATTTGTGTTAGAATTTCGATTTAATTTCCACAACGTTTAGAGTACACGTCGTTAAAAACTGTGTTCTATGCTGTTTCAGTTATCTTAAAATATGGTTGCTTATTATTCGCTGGAATTAGTTTTAAACGTACAGTAAAAACTGTCGTTAAATGCGGCTCGAAATATTCTTATTTAAAGTTGTCGTGGTAACTCAGTATTACGTATTATGCGTGATGGCTTTGACGTGTCGTGTACTGTTCTGGGCCTTGCTTCGCGATTCTGTTGTAGGGAATCCGGTCTCAAAATTGAGTCCTGAGCAAGTGGGAATTTTCTTGTTTCAAAGTTGTGCATCCGTCTTTTATCTGTCGTGTAAGTAGAGACGTAGGAACCGTGATAGATGCGATGTAGATAATTTGTAGTTTCAGAAGTTGATTCTGAATTGGAACTGTTGAGAAAGCTGCCAAATATGTGATATAAGAGACGTTTTCTTATAAATGCAAGTGACAGTGGGTCGTTGTAACCTGTATTTGTCGTGTAACTGAACCTTGGCGTGTTGGTAACATTGTCTTGTATCCCATAAGGATTATTGTTCCATCTGAACATGTCGTAATAATGAACCTTATCGACTGGCATTGTCTCGGCAGGCATATAAAATTAAGTTTATGATATCCGATTGCTGTCTCGACGTAGGTAGAAGTCTGTAAGGGCTATTGTCTTGTAGAAATTGTAATAAACATGATCTTTATTAGTCGATTAATCTAATATTGCAGTTGTACGCCTTAATATGGTGTGGCATTACCCAACCACTACTTGGAATGATTTATTACGCGGATGGTATTTCGACCTGCTTTTGCGTAGTTATCGATTGGTAAGGAATTAGCAGTGTTGTGTAACAATGTCTTTTTCTGGTATTGCCATGAAAGTTATGTCATCGCAATGTTGAGCATGTAAGGTTGGCAGGAAACCTTTTCGTAGCACGGTGTGAACCTGAGGGCCGCGAAACCCCAAGGGCCGTATAGCAGTCGTCGTATCTCGTAGGCTCGTCGTGCAGTGAAGTCATTCCCAGAGATTCGGAGACCGTTTTCTGGGTCTATCATCAGGGATGATGTTATGCAGACTCTACCGAAACGTCGGATATGAACGACATGCTAACGCTGCTGATTATCTCGGAAGTCACAATTCGGTCACCGTGAAGCCTTCGCGTCCTACATGTGCAATTTTTATTTCGGAAAAATTTCGTCCTGTTTGTAAGTGCGACGTAAAATAACTTTTGGTTGTGCTAGGTGTGATTAGGTACGCAACCTTTATTCAATTTGCAATCGTTAACAATATCGTCAAGCTCCTAATGAAGAAATTCTCTCCGTTTTCATGCCACGCGCACAGAGGTGGCCCCGGGATTCGAGTGAGGTCACTGAGGTCTCGATGCAGCGCGCATCTGACCTGGTGACGTAGTTCCCAGCTCCTTTATTAATTATTCGTCAACCTATCGTGTCTAGCTGAGAGTAGCTAATGGATCCCATTCACTGCCACTCAGGGTTGTACACTCTGGCCGTGACTTGCTGACAGGAGGACGGAATTTGCCCGTAGAATTTTACTTATTTCGTTTCTCTTGGTGTCCTCTGACGTGTTTCCTTCATATTCCCTTCTTCATTTTGATGTTCACTTTATGTTTCTTTCTTCAAAATCGCTCAGATTGACTGTATTTGGCTCCCAACGCCAGGGCTGTACACATTGTGTGTGTGTTCCGACTTTAGGATTCTACAGTATGTCCCATAAGTCTGGAACCAATGGGAGTATACGTCTTAGCTGTGTCGCAGCTGTGATTGGTGGGAGTAAAGGCCATTGTGTGCGAGTAGTTATGCTGTTTTGACGTCGGAGTCAGCTGTAGTTTGTAGACGTTGCTGGACCCCTTGAATAGGCGTATGTTTTTTGACAGCTAGATATTGCGTGTGGTTTCAGACTTCCGGGACATCCTGTAGTTGGTTTTCTATCACTTTTTGCTATCACCCACTACTGCAACTCGCTTACTGATAAACCTATTGAATGCCGTAAGTTTTATTACTGATTTCAGACAGGATTATTGCATTACCAACTTTTACTTATCGTTTGCGTATGTTTCGACTTTTTTATGTTTGCTGTAGCAGTGTCGTGCAATTGTTCTTTAGGGCACGGACAACCACCCACGTGGTGACTGTCAGTTGTTTCAGAAGAACATGTAACACTTTGTCTAAATGGGCAGTAGGCGCTTTGTTCCCGTTTTACCTGTATTAATGAACATACAAAGAGTGTACAAATTAAACCAGTCACGTACTCAGAAGCAGGTCCACCCCCGCGTATCAAATAGACTCTGTTCTTGTGGTTAAACATCGTAACGAAGCTGTTTCAAACGATTGATTGCATGATTAATTATTTAACGTGTTTATACGTGATGATCGGGCTCATATCGATTAATCTCGGAAACATATCCGTGTACCAAAAATTCAGTCGTCGCGGATACCGAGTGTCGCTGCCTTACGATGATTGTCCTTGGTCGGCTTTGGCCAGTGCGGTGTGTTGTCTGTCCTCCAGGGGCGATGCTGTTGGCTGCCCCCCGTCTGTTAATTTATTCACACGCTTTTATGTAATTATTACTATAATTAGAACAATACCCGCGGGACGGCCGTTCAATTACCGCTTTTCTGTGTGTTCGTTCACACGTGGAAATGTAATGACGATTGTATCTGCTGGTAGGTGAATGACAGTTGAGTGTTTGCAGGAAAGTGGAGGATATTATTAATAGATACAGATATGTAATGTAGCCTGTGTGTATGCCGTTCTGCAACATCCTTATATTCTGAAGGCATTACCCAAAGTGTAAAGTTGAGGTGTAAGTCGCCTGTTCTTAAGTACCGAGCCTTGAAGGCAGTTGCGTGCAGTCTGATGCTGGTCACTAAATGGTTTTGGCCCTTCGAAACGCGGAACTCATCTGAGTGATATTTAAGAATTCAGTCCGTACCGCGAAGAAAACACTACACTTCACCATTGCAAAGATCAACTGGTTAACCTTGTTTAAGGAAATAATACGACTAAAACGCTAATTAACCTTTGGAGCCGAAGCTCTTTCAAATGAAACTTAAGAATTCAGTCCGTACCGCGAAGAAAACACTACACTTCACCATTACGAAGATCAGCTGGTTAACCTTGTTTAAGGAAATAATACGACTAAAACGCTAATTAACCTTTGGAGCCGAAGCTCTTTCAAATGAAACTTAAGAATTCAGTCCGTACCGCGAAGAAAACACTACACTTCACCATTACGAAGATCAAATGATTTCCGCTGTTTAAGGAAATAATCGGTGTTAATTGTGAGAATCATACGAAACACATAGTAGACAAAATTCATGGTTACTGGATTTTAAAGCAGGTGGTACATATAGTTACCATTGTGCTTGGGGATTAAAACTACGTGAAACGGCGCCCACCACCAATTCTGTGAGGTTGGGAGGTCGTTAAGCCAGTCTGCAAGTTGTGGCTAAACCACAGATTTATGCCCCTGTTGGAAATCTAACCTCAGTCATTTTTGCCTTTGGTATCAGTATCGGGTACACTGAAATTCAAAAGGTGTTTGTTTGTACCACATGGGGGGGGGGGGGGGGGGTGT